TTACAATACTAAGCTAATAGATGAGTACTAAAAATGGATAACCTCAATTTCTTTCATATGAATACTTGCATTTAAATAGCCAAATGGATTTTTGTGAAGAAAAAACATATTTATATGTGGGACCCAGACATTATATGATAAGTTTTACTCTTGGACAAATGGTTATGGCGGAGCTGTGAACAGGGGTTCATATGTCAAAGGCTGGCAGAACCTTAGCTATAGCAGTTAGAAAGGAAATACTATTACAATATCTTCATCTCAGCCCCCAAACAGTCCAATTTGCACTGTGGAGACTGTGGTTTTCTGCAGCTTAAGAGAGGTTAGAATCGAAATGAAAAGCAAAAGCCCACTAGTAGGGATTTCAAATCAGAAATTAGATTAGAAATTACAAGAAACCCACCCCTAAGCACACCCAACCTTATCAGTTTCAACTGTATTTCCACCCATGGTCCAGTGTTTCTAAATTTAAGGGCTGTGTTATTTATTTAAACCAATTTAGGTAAGATGCTCATTGGGGTACTCCAGGAACTATTCCAATATGTAGAATTCCCTGAATACAGTGAACATTACTATGTTCTCCCTACCTTCTCCCATATAGGCACACAAATCAGAGAGTGAAAATCTAACTTTTACCCATCCCTAGAATTATTGCTTGGGAACTAATTAGTCTGCGGTCACCATTTTAAAAACCAAGGTATAATTATTTTTAAGTTATATTTTGTTAGGTATATACAAGCCATCATGGGCATGGGTGCCCTATAATAAGTAAAAATGTATTATTATTTCATGTCTCTGAGGGAAGCTCCATCTAAATCAATCTAAACAAATGCATGCAACCTAATCTTAATTTTGGAGGAACAGATTGGCAGGAAGCAGAATCTGCTTTTTCCAACGGGTTTGATTACATCCACTAGGAAAATCTGAGTTTTAGCTCACAGAGTTATCTGTATATTCCCTCATGGCAGGAGGGATAGGGTATTCTCTTTGGTTCACCACCAAAACCTATGGAACTTGGGGGATCTCCTAGATGCAAAGAGAATGTAGATGGAGAGCCTCGGCCTCCACACTGCCAATGCTCCTACAACACAGACCCACAGTTTTGGCTTGGGAAGAATCCAGCTGAGCAAGTCTCTCTCACATTCCCAGGTGCTTCCAAGCCCCAAGCCCATCTCTAGGATTTTAGCTACTATAGGTGAAGTTCAGTAGGTAGACCATGTCCCCTAGTAGCATTACACTTCCTTGCAAATCATTTTAAAAAGAAAACTTTACTATGTCTCCTTTGCATTTTTCTTTCCTTTAACTATATGACAGAACACATTCCCTTCCTTTTTTAATCCTGTTTTCCCCTCAAAGTTATTTTTCCTTTAGTGTGTAATATTTTTTCCTCTCTCCCTCCCTTCTATACAGTGCTGTTTCAGGAACTCGCCTCTCCTTCAAACTCGCTACTCTTTTCTGGGGTTCCCCAGCTCTCTCTTTGCTCCCTTCCCACAGACTCTTATTCATTGTTCTCTCCCACCTAACCCATTATTCAGATACTCTTTTCTTCATTTTCGTGGACACAAACCCCGCCCACCAGACATAGCCACTGCCCCTTTCTAGATATGCACAAGCATTTCTACTCTGACACACATTGCCATACATGCACCAATGCTCTCAGACGATCCTGCCCCCCTACATACCGACAGCCCTTTCCCAGAAACACCATAATCACTGATCCCTTCACACTCACACTCCTCTCCCTTTTGGGAAATGGACAGAAGGAGACCAACAGAGGGTCCTTTTCCTATCCTAGAGCAGAATGGCATTAAGCAGGGTCAGGGCCGGCTCCAGGCACCAGCTTAACAAGCAGGTGCTTGGGGCAGCCAAGGGAGAGGGGCGGCACCTGCGGCAATTCGGGGGTGACAGGTCCCTCACTCCCTCTAGGAGCGAAGGACCTGCCGCTGAATTGCCGCCGCCGATCGCAGCTTTTTTTTTTTTTGCTTGGGGCGGCAGAAATGCTGGAGCCGGCCCTGAGCAGGGTCTCCAGGCTAATACACTCATCGGGGCGCAACTCACTCTGCCTTATCTAGTCTCAGACGAGGCAGACCCAGTTAAATCCTAAGCATTTGCTCAGCACTGGGCTGTACTCCACTGAAGGAGACAGAGGAGAGAGATCTTCAGTGGGGAGGAGAACATCTGGAGTGCGATTGGGTCTTGAATGTTCAGTGATGCCAGGGCAAGGGATGAGGGAGAGAAAAAGGCAGAGCACTAGGACCCAACGGGAAGCAGATGAAGAAATCCTCAATAGGGAAAGGGTGTCTGTTTTTTAAGAAGTTTTCTGCCACTTCTGACATAGACATAGTCTGTCTATGATAGCGACAGTCACGTCTGGCCTGCATTTTACCAAAACTACAAAGTAGGGATCCGGCAAGACTCCTACGAAGGGGTTTTTATGTGTTCAAAGGAAAAGGGGAGCATGGCACAAAGAGAAATCCACCTCTCCATGCTATTCCAGCACTGGCCCATGAACGTAGGCTCCTGTTCATGTGTGGAAGTGGAGGACTGCATACACATGGGAGGCTATGCATTTGGATTTGATTTCGCTTTGTAACAGCTGTAGCATTTTGCACTTGAAAAATCTTCTTCTGTCAAGATGGTACAGTACAAACAATACTCAGATGTGCCTTCAGTTTATAAACTTTGACTTCTCACCAAAGCCAATTTTTGCAAACGGGGCCAGGAGAGACAAAGACAAGGAACTCAACCTCTGGCTAGGGCTGCACATTTCAGGAATTACCACACCTTCAGTTAATCCACTAGTGATCTAACCCACATCCCTTACATAGGGTTTTAATTTGCTCCTGCCTTCTCAAAGACTTTCACATTTCCTTTGGTTGGTCATTTCTCTTTATGTTTCAAGGAGAATCGCTTCACGGATTAATCTTCACACAGTGTAGGTCTTGTGTGAAAGGTCACAGGAGGACTTTGTTTTATTAATCATCCTGTTATAAAAGGCAGGACATAGAAAAAGACAAACTGGAAATGTTAGTGAGGATGACATGGCACAGAATTTAATAAACTCTGCAGCATTTGAAAGCAAAAAGCTGATAGTGTGGTAAGAAACAGCATAAATGATAGGTTTCAGAGTAGTAGCCGTGTTAGTCTGTATCCGCAAAAAGAAGAACAGGAGTACTTGTGGCACCTTAGAAAATTTGTTAGTCTCTAAGGTGCCACAAGTACTCCTGATCTTCTTTTTGAGCATAAATGATGCTCATGCAGGAGAATGGGAATGGTACATGTCACAAGAAAGCTAAGAAAAAAAAGTAGAAATGCAGTCAGACATCCCATTCAAGGCTGTGTATCCCTAGACTCCGTTTAGAGAATCTGACATGGCTGGTTATATTTGTCTGAAATGCCCCATTCAGATAACAAGTGTTAATCCTAATGGGAAAAGGTAAAGTGGGTTTGTTGGCTGAGTGTCCCACTCAGGTATGAGTAAGTGAAAGTAGCCCTCAGAGAGAAAGGGTGTGTGCTAGGATTTAGCAAAGACAGCTCCTGAGGAAGGATACCCTAGGAGCAACCAAACCTGGGAAGGTGTAGTGTATAGATCAAATAAACATAGGAGCAGCCAAATCTGCTTGATGGATTTCTCTGGTAACTTAAGTACCATTGTAAAGGTATTTAAGCTACTTACTGCCCCCTGGTATAGAAGACATGGCGTAGGTGTCTCTACATGCTGGTGAACTCCAGCGACAAGAATGGGACCTGGCGGGGCCAGGAGCAGTCAGTAGCATACAAACTGGGCCTGAGGCTGTTTTGCTTTACACCAGGACTAGTGCAGATTGGCCCCAGGATTGGGAGCAGCATGAAGCTGGTTGAAAGAAGCCATCTTTGTTGCTGCCAAGTCTACCTGCTCTGGTAGGGCTTAGGCTCTGACCCCAAAATGGCTGCCTCTCGTTACTTTAAAAAGTGTTGTGTTTTTTTATGTTAACTGCCTTTTGAAAAAAAGACACTTCAGTTCTTCTTAAAATAAGATTAAACAGTTTTGTAATTTTTGAAAATCACTGTAGTTTTCCTTCATTAATACAATATAGGAATTGCCAGAACTGTGTAAATATACATTGCATGTACATCATTACCAGAAAGATATTGACAAATTGGAAGGATTTCAAACAAGAGATACTAATATGATTAGGAATCTGGATCAACTGACTTATGAGGAAAGATTAAACACACTATGTATTTCTTGATAGGTGCTGACCAGGGAATGCCATGGCAATAGTCTACAAATATTTGAAGGGTATAAACAACAAGAAAGGAAAGGAACATCTAGGAATAATAGTATAACACTAAATGCCAGAAAATAAGACTGAATATCAAGAAAAAGTTTCTTGACACTGAGTATAATTAGGATATGAAATAATATTCCAAGAGAAACAGTGGAAGCCCATTCCTTGGGAAACAAAGCTGGACAAAGCAGTATAAATTATACCATAGGGAACAATCCTGTACTGGCAGGGTATAGACTAGATGACTTAATAGGGTTTTTCTGGCTCTGATTTGTATGATTCTATTACATTATGCCTGTAGGATTTTAATAATGAATTGCGCAGAATATTAGCTGGATGCAATTGTTCCACCTTTTTTCTTATACTGTTTTACTGACAAAGGAAGGACTGCAATTCTAATATCAATTATCTTAGAAAAACTGATCTGTGTTTTTTTACCTTCCTACCTCCTGGGCACAAAAATAATGTGATTTTTTTTTGTGCTTGAAATACCCGTGGGTCTGATATTCAGCAACCATAATATTTTTGTTTCAAATATGCCCATTACAAAACAAAACAAAAAACAAAAATCTTTAAGGAGAGTTTTCCATTAGAACTTGTTTTGTCATTGCACTAATGCTATCGCTTTTGGAAAGATACTGCTGTTAGCAAAAATAGAACACCTTTCATCAAATGGGATTTGTTCCTCACTGGAGTGGAAACTAAAGAGAATGAAATATAGGAGGAAGGTACCTTCTTGATGGTATCCAGCATGGATCGCCCTCCTTGCCAAGGTTTGGAATTCTTTCTGATACAAGTCAGGCTAGCCATGCTGTGCCACTTCCGGTCCTCTAGCTTCTTATGAAAAGCATTAGCCAACAAAAGCACAGTGTCATATATGTAGAGGTTCGAAATCTGTAAAGAGATTAGAGACTGATTATTAGCAGTTAGTGGACACACGCTGGCAAACAAAAACAGAATTCATAATCTGTTTGCCTCAGCTGTTTATTGCCCACCCTGTCAATAACTAAATGATTTACTTGGTATTAAACAGCTTAAAAAACTATTACAATAACCACCCCTTAACTATGCTATCATCAACAATTTAGGGATTGAGATCCAGGCTGACTACCTCCACTCCTGCGTGAGGCACAGGAGCCCCGTTACCTGCACAGATCCAGCTGCTGGATTGGGGCTAAATTATTATTAGTTTCTCCTGTTTCTAGTCAATTTCCAAACCATTTCATTATCTGGTTCTCAAGCACTAGTATATTTTGAAATGTCTGGGCTTCCCACATGGTAGGTGCACTTGTTTGTAAATGTATCAGGGTCAGACAGCTCCTGTGCACCTGATGGTGGCCTAGGTGCAGCACCATGCCTCAAATTTTTCCAAAATCTTTCAGCAACGGAACTCAGTGGTATCTCTCCCTGATAGTCCAAAACAAAGAGAGTCTTCACTCCAGTCTCCAGCTAGACCCAGCCCGACTTCCAGGAGGGTTTGTTCTCTTGCTCTATATCCCGCACCCACATTCAGGGTTTCTTGCATGGAGTCTGGCCTCTCCCAGAGTCCACAACTCCTCTCCAGCCCCATACACAGGTTTCTTCTCTTAGCTCTTCCCCATGACCTCCATCTTGCCCACCTGTGGAGGCAAGCTAATTACTGATATGTCACAGCTGGGATGGGTTTTTCTCACTAAACAACGAGAATTTAATTTTTTTCCAAAAGCTGTTTACCAAACCAGCATTTTGAGGCAAATATGGCTTGTTAATGCCCCAGTAGGCACACATTTTCTTTTTCATTTGGTGGTTCATCATGGCATTTATCATGTAATTTTATGATTTTCAATCGATCAATCAGTGTATTTCTTAGTACGTTCAGTTCAGGTAACTGAAATGGGGAACACGAAACGAGAGAGAGATGTTCTAGTCCCTATTACGAAACTCTCAGTGAAGTCATAGAATTTGCAAAACACTCACTTGTGCTCGTTTCTGTTTCGTTACTTTCTAATATTTAAAATAGAAATTCTGAAATTTTTAGTAACTTAGCATCAGCACTGGATGCTCCCTGTGCTTCAGTGAAAAAATGTCAGTGCCTAGTAAGGCTATTTCAGCATTGTAAGAATTCCATAATGGTAATATATTAACATATTAAATATGCACATAAGGCCTGTTTCTGCAATGCAATGAGTGCCCTTGCTTTCCATTAACTTCTGTGGAAGCTGAGGGCTCTTAGCACCTTACAGTATTAAACTCTCAGACGATATATATATTTATGCACAGAAGTTTAAGTGCAGCATCCAACAGAGGATATTGAAGCTCAGCGGAAGAAACAGAAATAACCTGCCTCCCCCTCTTCCAGTTATCTTGATTAACTTTCTTATATATTTATTTTTTAACTGCATATTCACAAGTTCAGTCAGACATTAATGATAAGATATAATTCAGTCTGAAGTAATAAAGGAACAGAATTCACAAGCTCTTCTGAAACAATTTACAAAATGGCCTTTTTCAGTCATCTCTGTCCTCAGATGGCAGGGGCAGGTGTCCTGCTAATGCTATCATAAAGAGACATCATTAGCTCCATCTGACAACAAGGGGCTCAGAAGCAATATTAAGTTAGAAGACTGAATCATATCTAGGGCATTTGACAACACTCTTTTCAGATCATCTATCAGTCACTTGAAGTTCTTGGACCTGTGGCTGTCTAGGGGAAACTCAGCGTTTTCCGAGTAACACCAGAAGGGGTTCTGGACACAGCTGCCAACTTTCACCTGATAAATAAGCACCCCAACTTTCACAATAAGCCAAAAATCAAGCTGATCCCATTTCAAAACAAGGCCAAAACAAGCCAGTCCCTAAGGACCCCGACACTCTATGTGACCAGATCCCTGCGGAGTGCAGTCTGGGACCGTGGTGGGCCCACTATGTATCCTGGACTCTCTCCCCCACTTGCCGGGAGCCAATCAAAAAAAGAAGCAACAAGCTACAAGAAGCTACAAGTGAAACAAGCAACAAGCCAAAAACTAGCAACTCACAAGCCAATTAAGCCAAAAACAAGCCCAATTTCTGGTGTTTCCCCCTCCCCCCCGTGGGTTTGGCATGTCTGGTTCTGGAGTGTCCCCAGTATCTGAAAACTAATTAGCCTGTGTCTATTAGCTATTTGATGCAGGATTGTTTTTTTGTTTCAATGCTGCTAAGATCAATTTCTCACCGCCCCTTGCATTTGTAAGAGGTGGTGGCCTGAAAGATAAAAAATGAAGATATTGAGTTCTCAGCTGTCCCTAAAGATCTTAGGAGAAGAGGGAGACCTAAAGATGTGAAATGGAATAATGAGGCGGAGGTTCAGGCTGCTGGGGACTCCTTTATTTTGTGGCAGAAAACATCTTGAAGCTAGTGTTGTAGCCAGTTAAAAGGAAGGAGTTCCCAAAGAGGCTGATATGCTGATTCAGATATTCAAGGATCCAAATACCATCTTAAAATTATGACACTCCAAATATCATTTTTTCCCCATCCTACTAATTAATTGTATAAAGGCAGCACATACATTATGCATGCATCCAACTTGCAGTGACTTATACTGGCTCTGACTCTTCTACAGGCTGATCCCCATAGATTTCTACACAAGTCTTTTGCTACTTACTCTCACCTCCCCCCAGAATCTAAGGAAGGCTTCCTCTGCCTCTCTCCTTTACCAGAAGTTCCTAGCATTTGCGGCTTCCTTTGCCTCCCAAATTTCCACAGCAAGTTCTAGTCTGCCTTTTTCCTTAAACCTTCCATGATTCTTCATTACCACTGCAAAAGCTACATTAATAGCTACCCACTCAGAGAACTTCTGACCCTCCCACGTTTCTCCCCCCGCCCCTTTACTGACAGAGTGGTCTATCACTCCATGGTTTATCACTACAACTCTGCTGGCTCCGAACATATCTCTTTTACAATTCAGAGGTCTAACGTGAATAAATTTGCTTGTTTCCTTTTTAACGCAGAGGTTAGACATCACACCCATGAATGACAAGATTAGAGACTTGGATGACTAAATCTTCATGTGATGTAAATCAGTGTCACTCCATGGCTGTGCTAATTTACACCAGCTGAGCATCCGGCCCAGACTAGTTAACAGTGCGCTCTTTCGATAACTCAGATCCAGAGCCAGCTCCGGGGTTCTTCGGCGGCAGGTCTTTCCCGCCGAGAGGGAGTGAGGGACCTGCCGCCAAATTGCCGCCAAAGAGCCAGACGTGCCGCCCCCTTCCATGTGCCGCCCCAAGCACCAGCTTGCTGTGCTGGTGCCAGGAGCCGGCCCTGCTTAGATCACCTACTATTGCACTACCCAGAACTTCAAGGGTTGAATGTCTTTCAACTAAAGTCTTATTTCCTCAAAGAAGTTGGCCCCACATTAACTTCCAGCTAGGGGAAATTGAAGAATGGGAAATAAATTATCTCCTGCTATAATAATATATAGTGGAAGCCTGGGCTGAAAAAAAAGAACCTCCAAGGAGGAAAGACAATAAGGTCACCAATAAGACCAAATTAGTACATAAAGGCTACACATCCCAAGTCATCATTTCCCAACAAGATGACATTGTTTTTATGTAATTTCTGTAACTTAATATCATGGGACTAGGAAATCTTTTGTCACAGTTCACACAGGGGAATACACTTATTAATTTAGGAGCAATTTAGCTGTGCTTACATCAAGTATTAATAGGACACAAGTGTACAGGGTTCAGCAGGCATTAGCAATTTTTTAGTCCCTTACCAATATTTTAACTCAGCATTTATGGCATCATTGGTCTCTGATAATACAATAGTAAATGCACTAGAGTTAATTTCTGTTTCTGCAAAATCCTACCACCTCTTGGAAGTGTGTTGCATTAATCATAGTCCTGGTATGCATGACAGGGAGGCAATTTAAAGATTGTTCTGTATATTTATGGCTCTGCAACTTAACTATAACAAGATGTTTAATGCACTGTGTATCTCAGTTATTGATATTCTGCTTATTCCAAATCTCCTCTAACTCAGCAGTCTTTTGCAGAGGTGGATGGTCATAGGAATTAAGCAGCAGCACATAATTAGGTGATCTCCAGCCTGCCAAGAATGTGAAATGTAGATGTCTGGTAACCTCAAAAAATTCCAGGAGGACGAAAGAGTTAATACAATCAGTCTTATTCTGTTCAGATAGCATAATTCTGAGGACAACTGCAAACTATTCAACTGAACTAGAGGGGCACAACAATATCTAATGTCACACAATTACCTAACACTTTAAAGGCCTGATTCCAATCCCATTGAAATGACAGTTTGATACAATGCACATTTCACAGAGCAGAGACTGAACTCAAGAGATTATGTAACCATGGTTATATTTTAAGCATGTTCTTGTGGTTAAGACACTGCACTGGAATTGGGACTCAGGAGATCTGGGTTAAATGCCCTACTCTCAGGGCCAGCTCCAGCTTTTTTGCCGCCCCAAGTGGCAAAGAGGGGGAAAAAAAAGAAAAAAGTTAAAGCCACAATCGGCGGCACTTTGGTGGCTGCTCTACAGCGCCACTTCATTCTTCAGCGGCAATTTGGCAGCCGGTCCTTCAATCAGAGGGACTGAGGGACACGCCGCCGAATTGCCGCCGAAGACCCGGACGTGCCGCCCCTTTCCATGGGCCGCCCCAAGCACCTGCTTCCTACGCTGGTGCCTGGAGCCGGTCCTGCTTGCTCTACCATAGACTTCTTGTGTGATGTTGGGGTGAATTGCTTAATCCATCTGTGCCTAAATTCCCCATCTGTCAACCGGGGTTACCAACATTTTTTCTTTTTCACCCCTTTCAGAATGCATGCTCTCCCAAGCAGGGACTGTCCCTTACTATGTGTCTGTCAAGTTTTGGTTTGGGCCCATAGGTGCTTATGCAAGAGCAATAAAA